CCTTTTCCAAGATCTTGGAGATGAACGGAAGTTTAGAGATGGGTCTGAAGCTGCTATGGAGAGAGGGGTCGAGACTCGGTTTTTTAAGAAGCGGGTGGATTACAGCGTTCTTAAAGTAAGCAGGGACCTGAAACCTGAAACAGGTTGACCTGAAACAGTTCCTTGAAATTTAACACCTAAGAGAAGGTTGATCAAACTTTATATCAATATTATGACTTGATCATATATAGTTTTAACACTTTCAACTGAAAATATGTGTTTGCTAGAAGTGTAACATAAAATAACACAAATAATAAAAACACAATGATTTAAACATCTGTAACTGTTTTTTTTTTTTTTCAAATGCTTTCCTTTAAATCAATCCAAACACAGTAAGTGTTTCATTTCTTTGAAGCATAACTAAATTACACTGGCATTAGAAATCTATTAGATTAGTCACAGCCAGTAAAAACACAAAGCAGTTGCTTTTGGGTGTTTTTTTCTTGGCAGCTACACCAACCTTACCGAGTTCCAGTCGGTGGGACTGCACTACTTTTTTATTTGTTCCCCTGAGAAGCACAAATTTACGAGGCTGTAAAACACAGATGAGATAAAGAGCTTTACCAGTGTGTGTTGTTCACAGTAAAAATGACAGATTTGCCTTTTAAACAGTTACGATAGGCGGAAGACGGCAGACTAATTGGATTTTGTGTAACTGTTGAACACAGCCGATTTAGTTCCACCTCAGCAAACTACACCTGGAGAGGGTGCAGGACTCTAGACCAGTTTTATCAGGGAAGCATTCTCTTCCTGGCTAATTTCCTGGACAGCAGGACAGCTGTATAGCCTCAGCTGTGATAACACACACCCTAGCTGGGTTTGATGCTTGGTAAAAATCTGCTCCTTGGATCTAGATTTACAGAAAACTGGTTGGTTGTAGAGTTTCACCTATTAGTTCTAAACTCATAACTTTGTTCCTAACTTCCTCTTAGTGTAGCTTTGAAACTGCATGGGTCTAAATATGTTTTATTACCGTTTACCAACAGGCAGCTGCACTTAATCATTCTCCATACCTCCACAGTCTGCATTTGTTTACATAAAACTTTAATTAGGTGTTGTGTTCTCCCAGCTCCCAGTTTTTCTGCTTTCTTGCAGAAAAAAAATGCTTAAAAAGTGACACCAGTGTTTGCTAAAAATCTGCTCCTATGTGTGAGGATGGGGTTTTTCCTTCTGCATATTATCATGAAGAACTGCAGCAGTCAGAGGATGACAAAGGTATCCTAACTTTCTCCCTGGGCGTGCAGTCAGGTTGACATCTGTTAGCAGGATCGCGTAGGCAGATGTAACCCAGAGGAATTCAGGCTTCGGAGTAGAGGTGAGGCTCATTTATATCAAAGGTCAGCTGACGGATTTCAGTTAATGACAACCTTAACTATCAAATACCGGCTGCATGAGTTATACTCTTTTTTTATATTCAGTATTCAGATACTTTATTGGGTACACTTTTAACCACTTTTTGCCTTTAGAAGAGCTTTCATTTTCCATAACATAGATTCAGTGAGATGTTCCTAAATATTACTTGGAGGTGTTGGTCCATATTGAACTGACAGCATCACAAATATACAACCAGGATGTGAACCTCCTGTTCTGCAGCTTCACAAAGGTTCTGGATGTAGATCTGGTGAGTGTGGAGAGTGCTGGAGTCCGGTGAACTCATTTTGATATGGTGTGAGCTTTGTGAAATGGTAATAATGATATTAATATTGCACATTTGTATGGCACTTTTCCAAATCCAGAACACCAAGATGCTTTACAATACAACAAGTCATACACACATTCACACACTTACTGTGACAGAAGCGAAGCTGCCACATAATCAGCACCACCAGTCCCTCTGACCACCACCAACATGCAACCTACTGATTACATGGTAAACTCCCAAACCCTGAGCCACCGCTGCCAGGTTGCTTTATCCTGCTGGAAGTAACCATCAGAAAATGGGTCAGCCACAATACTCAAGTAGGATGTGGTGTTTAAACAGACAGTTGGTACTCATGTGGCTTTCACACCTGGGTCGGCCCAGCCTACCCTAGTAGGCAAAAGGTAAACATCTTCTTTGACCCTTACTTCACACTGGAGGCGTCAGCGGCGCAGAACGGTTTACTCACGAGTTTCACTGGAAACTCTCAGCCATGGAGCTTCTTCTCTGCTGTGCTCCTCGCTGGACTCTCAAGATCACAAAATTCCTTGAGACTTCAGAGGTCACGGTTTGCAGGAGTGACTGCAGCTCGGAACCAGCGCTTCAGCCATGGCAGCGTGAAGACTGCTGAGAAGAGCACGCAGCGGTCTCAGTAAGAACGTAGAAAGCAGTGCTTCATATCAGCAACGCTGCTCACTGCCACTTTTGTTTACCAATTTACTAACAGTGTCCGCACATCTTTTGCCCCACCCACGTACCTGGAGACATCTGCTTTCCTGAGAGGGCTGTGTGAACAAAACTTGGCCACGCCGGGGGCGGGTCGACGCTACCAAGACTGGCCAGATGTGGAAATGCCTTAAGAGGCCCAAAGTGGGCAAAACCCATTTCCCTCAAACCATTACTACACTACAGTAGTCTGAAGCATTGATACAAGGCAGGATGGATCCATGCTTTCATGTGGTTGACACCAAATTATGACCTGACTATCTGAGACTCATCAGACTGGGAAAAGTTGTCTCCTGATGTCTAGTTCTGCTGATCCTGTATGAACTCTAGCTCGTGTGTCAGAGGTATTCACATTGAATCCACGCTGCCTTTAACACACATTAATGCATTTGATCTTGCTAACGCTTCCCATGTGAGACGTATATGTCCTAAAGAAATGTTTCCATCTGCTGCAGCTTTTAACATGAAAGGAAGTTTATTGAGAACAGACTGTTTTACCTTTAATGGACATCCCACCTACTTTCCTGAAGCGTGTCTGTGTTCCCTTATCAGCGGCAGTCCGTGTTATCCACTGGGGCTTTGGACTGTTCTCTGCAGTAGTTTAATCTGCATGGGCTGTCCTTGATTTCAGGCGTGGGTTTCCACGCTCAGGATCTCAAAACTCTTTTGTGAGAGTGTGCTTCATGGGCTCGTAAGTGGATTATGTGAGTCGACATGAGTGGTCAGAGACAGGTAGACTGGCTCCTGGCCCGTGAAAAATGAAAGCAGCTGACATTTGAAGGTGGACAGTCTGAGTGAAGTGGAGGCTCTGCTTTAACCCAGGGGTGGCTGTTAGAGGAGGATGTTTTTTGTGTGTGTCCTGTGTGCTTTGGAAATCTGTTTTCCTTAGGAAAAAAAGGATTTCTTTTCCATTGAATGCTTTCTCCGTTATCTCCAGCACCCTCAGGAGCAGCCTGTCTATAGTCTGCTAACAGCAGTGAAATATCCATGCAACCAAATCCCCCTTAGGCAAAGGAAAAACATCACACACACCCACACCTCTGTCCAAAGGAAAGCTCCACAAACACATTTTGTGTCATTTTGAAATGTCACAAATCCGCCCTGTCAAGCCTTGAGCTTTGCAGCCTCCACGCCCTGATGCGTTTGAAGACCTCGGTCTATCACTGCATAAGAATGTGCATGACATGTTTCTGTCTGAACCCAAGCTCTTCAAGCACCCCGATGCCACATCCTGTTTCTCTCCGCTGTGCCTACCAATCCTTTCTGCTAGCCGTCAGTCCCTGCCACTCCGCATCCGCATTCGTTTTTCTTTTTTTAGGCGAGAACATCCAACAAAGACGTGCTACACCCTCTTTTTCAGGAGTCTTATGGATGCTGTCTGTGTTAGCCACCATAACACACGGGGATCACTTTAGTGCTTTCTGTACAATGGATGGTCCTGTTGCTCCTGTTTTTACTCTCTGTTTCTTAAGATGTTTAGCAACATCAAAAGGGATAAAGGATTTTATATTGAGAGCACTGGTCTTGATAAAGGTCATAACTATTCCGGTGAAATTTGCAGGTCTGTTTCCAAACCTCGGAGAGAGACATTGAGCCGTCTTTGGCCACAGGATAAAATGGCTTCTTGACCCTCTGGGCAGACTTTAAACTGCTTACAACCATGAATAGCTGCTGTCCTTTTTATTTATTTTATCTGAGCTTGAAGGATGAAAGTCCAGGTCAAGACCTTGGATACCTGTTGCAACTCAGCTGTTCTCCTGGGTCTTAATAATCCCAAGTGCAAGGATTGTTTGCAGCTTGTGTCCCTCAATTGTACGTTTCTTGTATTTTTCTCGTCTTGCATCTGTCTTTACCCACGAGTACTATGTTGATTTTCAGTCTCTTCTCTTTTTTCTCAACCTTAATTCCGGTTATGCTTTTATCAGGAAGGTGATTCCCTTAAGCGTCTTTGCTCCATGCATTCTGTGCATTACAGTCTCATCTTTAAAGTCATAATGTTTTTATTTTATCCTCTCTCTTTGAAATTCAATTTGTTTTTTCAATCCAAACTGGAGATAAGTCAGCACTTTGAGAAAGTGATAGCTAGAAATGAAATTAATTCAGAAGAAATTACATGGTTTAAGGCTCCCTATTTTAAAAAAATATGGTTCACATACACACTTTGTTTTACAAACACACACACACACACACACACACACACACACACACACACACACACACACACACACACACACACACACATAACTCGCCTTCATTCAAAATAACACCCTTCAGCCTGTTGCTTAAATTGTTCCTCTCCAGCCAGAATATGACTCTTGAAAGTGTTGCTGTCAGAGAAAATGCTTCTTTGGACATTTGAAGGACCATTTTGGTATTGTGTAGGACAGAAAATCTATCCAAGTGGAGCTCATATGATGCAATTAAGCCATTAAATCTGTGTGAAATGGCCTCTTGCAGTGAATTTTCTGTGTTCTTGGCCAGCAGGATAATCTACTTCACCTTTTTGGATTATTTCTTTCCAGTAAAAGCAAAATTACTATGCAAAATTTTGAACAGAAATGCTACATTGAATTTTTCTTCTTCTCTCTCTACTTAGGTATCCGTTCCCTACAGTGTTTAGCACATGCAGCAAGAAGGACCTTGCAGCCAGTCTGGAGAAAGGCGTGGGCATGTGTTTGTACAACATGCCGGAGGTCAAGGTGCTCTATGGAGGGCAGAAGTGCGGCAATGGCTATGTGGAGGAGGGAGAAGAGTGCGACTGCGGGGAGCCAGAGGTAAAATCAGCAGTCACCTTCTCCAGTCAGGTGGATCACACTCCACCTCTGAGGTCACACTGGGCAGCTCTGGGTAGCAAAGCAGGTGTTTGCTGTCAGCCGTTCCTGCATAAAGATCAGCTGTGCAAGATGGTACAAAAAAGGTCATCCTCGAAAAACTTCAAAGGGAATTTTTAGCCTTTCACTTTCTTTCTGGAACTGGAACTATGCCTTCAAGTGTATGTAATCCTTCTGAAATAGAGGCGCAAGAAATCGTTTTTTTGCTGGGATTGTTTCTGCTAATTCTAATAATCAAGGTGTTTTGTATAAAACCATGAACACCATGCTTTCTCCTGCTAGAACGCTATTTTCCTCTGTGTCTACTGGCCTGTGTAACCAAATTCTTCAGTTTTTCTTAAACAAGGTTGGTAAAATCAGAGCTCAAATTCTTCCTCCTTCCCATGTTCCTGTTCCTGTCATTCCCACTCATGGGCTATTCAGCAGTTTTCAACCCACCTTTCTGTCCTGTCTGGAAAAAACTATTGCTACTATGAAACCCCCGGGCTTTCCAGATGATGTGGTTCCACCTCGTCTCCTGAGAGATGTGCTTCCATTGATTGGCCAAAATGTGCTGGAAATTATTAATGGTAGCTTGACCTTGGCTGAAGTTCCTCATGCCTTTGAAAATGCTGTTGTGCAGCCAATCTTGAAAAAACCTGGTCCTTATCCCACTAATTTCTCTAATCTCCGACCAATTTCCAAGTTACCATTTTTATCTAAGGTACTTGAGAAAGTCATACATGAACAGTTAGTACTACATCTTAATGGCCATCAAGTAATGGACATTTTTCATTCTGGGTTCAGACAACAGTACAGCACTGAAACAGCTCATGTTCCTGTGTTTAATTACATCTTTTCTGGCCTTGGATTTAGGGTTCCATGTAGTACTGGTACTTCTGGATCTATCTGCAGCCTTTTATGCGATCGATCATAACATCTTGATCTCCAGACGACACACTTGGGCTGGCATCTCAGGTTCGGCCCTAGACTTGTTTAGGTCTTACTTTTCTAGCAGGTCCCTCAGGGTCATGCTGGATGACTATTCATCCCAGTCACTCTCCCTTTCCTGGGGAGTTCCTCAAGGTTCCATCCTCGGCCCGTTACTGTTCTGCCTCTATATTCTGCCCTTTTGGAGCCATTTTCAGACAGCATGCTGTTTCATACCATCTATACGCAGACGACTGTCGAATATATTTTTTACTTAAACCCGCTGACTCCACTAAACCTGTTTGATTGTCTTCACGATGTCAAGCAATGGCTGGCTGATAACTTCCTCCATCTGAATGATTCTAAAACAGAGGTAATCGTTTTTAGTCCCAACAATGTTAGAGCAACCCAGCAACCTGACCTCCACTATCTGTCTCCTAATGTTACTTCTGCTATTTCCAACCTTGGAATTAAAATAGACCCAGTTCTGAAGATGGATGCTCAGGTCAATAGCACAGTCAGGCCCTGTTTTTACCACCTCAGGCGAATTTTTAAATTAAAGCCCATCCTGAGTGTCTGTCTTCTACAATCTGTGATTCACACCTTCATCACTTCTCGGCTTGATTATTCCAACTCCTGCTTGTATGGCATCAGTAAAGCTGCTCTGTCTAGACTTCAGCTTGTCCAGAATTCAGCAGCAAGGTTCCTGACTGGAGCTGACAGAAGAGAGCACATTATACCCACTCTTAAATCACTCCACTGGTTGCCCGTTCAGTTCAGGATCAATTTCAAAATTCTGCTTCTTGCATTCAAATCTTTGAACAGACAGGCACTTCCCTATCTGTGTGAACTCCTCCATTACTACCACCCTCCTCGTGCTCTTAGGTCTGAAGATCAGCTCATCCTAACTGTCCCTAAGGCACATTTGAAGACCCGCGGGTAAAGGGCTTTTTCTCTCAGTGCCCCAAAATTGTGGAACTCATTACCTCTTCAGGTTAGGCAAGCACCCTCTATTACCATTTTTAAATCACGCCTGAAAACCCATGACTTCTCCCTGGCCTTCAACTCCCAAGCCATAAAGAATTAACTCATCCTTAGTTTTTCCACCTTGTTTGTTCGGTTTTAAATGTGTGTTTTTGTATGCTGGTTTTACTTGTTCTTGGTTTTAGTTTGTTGTTCTTTTAACTCTTTTATATTTTTTACTTCATATGATATACACGACTATTTTAGCTTGTGTTTTTATTTATTTGTTTTTATGCGCAGCGCTTTGGTCGGTTGTAATGCCATGTTAAAAGCGCTCTAAAAGTGGTATGGTATGAAATAATCCATCCATCCATCCATTTTCTGAACCCGCTTGTCCATGCAGGGTCGGGGGGGGGCCTGGTGCCTATCTCCAGCGGTCAATGGGCAATCGGGCGGGGTACACCCTGGACAGAGAGCCAGTCCATCGCAGGGCAACACAGGGACATACAGGACAAACAATCATGCACACACATACACGCGCACACACACTCACACCTAAGGACAATTTAGACAGACCACTCAACCTAACAGTCATGTTTTTGGACTGTGGGAGGAAGCCGGAGTACCCGGAGAGAACCCACGCATGCACAAGGAGAACATGCAGAAAGATCCCAGGCCGGGAAGCGAACCCAGGACCTTCTTGCTGCAAGGCAACATGTCTAACCACTGTGTCACTGCGCAGCCTGGTATGAAATAATAACAGATTTAAAATAATTTACTTTTATGCAGCTTTTACAAAATAAAAGTAGATTCAGTTTGTGTAACCAAAACGACTAAAAGTCTAGGCAGCGCACTAGGGCCTCTTCTACAAACCTCCCTTTGACATTGACACGGTTATTGTGACTTAAATGCACAAAAACAATCCGTGCAAAAAAAAAAGTCTAAAAAGCAGCAAGCCACTTGAGGTTGAGGTGTTTTATTTTATTCACTTTCTCTTGACTGGCTGCCAAGTGATGTCATGTTTTTGTTCAAGGCTCATTAATCAAACTACTGCCTAGCTGTGTGACACAAGAAAACAAATTTAAGTGTAATGCAGTCAAAGCTAAAACAAGCTTCCCTTGGCTTGATGATCCAAACAAATGGGCTTGCTCTGCTTCACACACATTCATGCACTTTCTCTCCGTGGCACGAGAGTCACATGAGGAAATAGCACCACCAAGATGGCGCCAATTTGCAAATATGTGTCACTGTTTAAAGCCACAGGATGTATAATTATCTCTGAATCTTCACCCGCAGAATAATAAACCACACAGGACCAGAATGCAAACTTATATGGAGGAATGACTTTATTGCACTAAAACAAAAGGTGCTGCATAGCTGCAAGGACAGAACATAAATACAAAGATTTGAACTGAAAACTGATCGGATGCACCAACGAGACCAAGAAGATCCTTACAAAAGCCAAAAGAATAGAAAGTTTAATAAATTTGAAGACAATCTGCATTTTATATCAGAGTTCTAAACTAAGATCACATTTTCTTTAGAAATGATGGAGTTGTACCCAGTTCTGCTAAAATTTTCAATTTGGAGTGTGTAAGGATAATCCAAAGGGTTTGAATGAACGCAACTGGATGTTTTTAGTTTGTTAAAGACGTTTCACTTCTCGTCCGAGGACTGAATATGGGGGAGTCAAACTCATCAAATGTAGCTGTCTCTTGTTTCTGCATCTAATCAAAACAACCATTCCAACACAATAGGACCTTAATGATATTAACAAGTCCCCGGGGGTCTGGGGAGAGGGGTATTCATAGGTAGTTTCTGCTAGTTAAGCAAAAACAGTTATAAGCTTGAGTCTCCCATATTCCAGTCAGAATTGACAAAGCTCCTCGGATGAGAAGCGAAACATCTTCAAGAAACCAAAGAAGTCCATTTGCCTTCATTCAAACCCCTTTGGATTACACTAGCAGAGTGTGTAAGGAGCACATACAAATCAGCCATTTTTGTGTCAGTCTTTGAGAATGCCATTAAAATCTGCCTGATGACCTGAGAGTTGACTCCATGAGTCATGAAAATGTGTTATGAATGACTTTCACGATACCAAATTCTAGCTGAATATCTTTTGTTTTGTAAGTTTAGTTAGTTGTTGAAATCCAATAATTAGAACTGTTAGAACTATAGTGATGACTTTAATAATTTATCAGTCATAAGAATTTTTTTCTACCCTTGACTATGATCCTGCAGATGTAATTTGTGTTCAACTGAAATTTTAAATGAACAACCAGAAAGCCGTGTTTCATGGCTGCAGCAGCTACATTTATATTTGTAGCTAAGCTGCTTCCGAAGATTAAGAAAAAATGATGATTAAATATGTATCTGAGAGATTAAAACAGCAATTTTAGACTAATTAGTTTCATACCATGTTGCACACTCTGGAGAACTGAACATTGGGCTGTTTGGCTGAACAAGCTTGAAATATAAACACAAGTTTGAAAGTTTAACGAGGAGACTTTCCTGAAATGGACATGCGATCGGGTTCTCTGTAGAGTTGATGTTTATTCTGCTGTCAAATGAAATTACAGAGACTCTAATCTTGTGTATGTGTGTGTGTGTGTATTTTTTTTTTGGGGGGGGGGGGGTGTTAAGCATGCAGAGTTATGACACTAGATCACTTTGATAAGAGTAGGCGGTGTTTTAGTGGAGCCATTGTGTTTGACCTCCCACAAACCCAACTGTATAATTTATATTTTTCGACTCCATCCCTGCCAGCGTGTCCATAGAGACCTCCATGATGTCACCTGGCAGCGTTTTGATCTGCCAGCCCACTTCAACTTGGAGATGAAAACTAAAATGAAACAATAGACTCACAAAAGGGCCAAGAGGTAAACTGCCAAACTCGTAAAACAGACGTCCCACAATCCCGCCGCCTCCTTTTGCAGCCCGTTATTATTTTAGAGCCCCACATGCAAAACAACCAGGGTGATTTCTGTGAGATTTGTGACACTACCTGCATAAATCTGATAAGTTTTCACAGGCAATAGGAATACTAAATAAACGCCTTACCTCTTTTTCTCCCTGCTATCTCCATAAAATCTTAGCGGAGGTCCTAACACTTGATTTCCATCTTTTTGCTCCCCAACCCACATTTTTCAGGTCATTGCATAAACACACTCCTCTTTCCAAGTCCTAACTTCTTGGGAAATACCAAATCTAAAACACATGAGCTCCACTTATTGCTTTGACTCAAAGGTCTTCGGGTCAGGTCAGGAATCCCTGGACAGGAAGTGAGCTCCGTCGACTCAGAGCTCTTCATCTGACAGCCAACGGTTGACTTGGGGTTTTCAGGTCGACTTGATTCTTTGTTTTCTTCCCGCATTCCAGGAATGCATGAACCCCTGCTGCAACGCCACCACATGCACCCTCAAGGGAGAGGCCGTGTGCGCCCATGGGCAGTGCTGCGAAGACTGCAAGGTAAAGATATCTCTGCAGGCCTTACTCTTGCCCTTTGGACAACCTAATTTAGGTTTTTATTTGCTCATGACCATAATTCAGTTCATTCTTTTGAATTTCAACACTAAATATCAAGGCTGGTTCCTTTTACACTTGATCTTTTCACATAGACAGTTTTCAGTACAGATGACATTCCGGTTGAGTTTGCTTCCGTGTAATTATTCATTCATTTTCATTTGCATGAAATATTGAAATAACTGCGTACTCCTTTTATAAAGAAGTGGATCTATTCAGACTAGTGTGTGTGTGTGTGTGTGTGTGTGTGTGTGTGTGTGTGTGTGTGTGTGTGTGTGTGTGTCTGTGTGTGTGTGTGTGTGTGTGTGTGTGTGTGTGTGTGTGTGTGTGTGTGTGTGTGTGTGTGTGTGTTTGTGTGTGTGTGTGTGTGTGTGTGTGTTCTTAACCCTGGCCTTGTAGTATTACAAGCATTTCTCACATTAAACAACTGAAAACTGATGTGAACTTCTGCAAAATAGAAAAGTTGAATATCAGTGTAAATAATTACAAAATATCAGAATAATTTAGTTGAACTTTTAAAGGTGTTTGTGTAGATAGTCATTCTGCAAGAATAAGGCAACACGTTAAGTTAAATCTGAACATCTAAAGTGAATGGTTGTTTTTTTTTTACTCATGTAATTTAAAGCTCTTTTAACATCATTCCTCATTCGTGTGCAGATAATAGGTGTAAATAAAAAAAGTACATTTTTATTGCTTTTCACAAATTTTGCCAGTAAATCCAACTTTTATCTAAATCTAAGGCTATGCTAATGTTTTTATAGAGCATGCTAACACACACACATGTGCTTTACCCCTACTTCACACTGGAAGCATGAGTGGAGCGGAACAGCAGAGGAACGGTTTACTCACGTTTGCTGCATGTCTGTACACACCGGGTGAATCTCAGCCGTGGAAAGGCTTCTCCGCCGTGCTCCTTGCTAAACTCGCGGGATCACAAAATCCATCGAGTTTATGCCCTCTCGCCCGTTAAACCAAAAAGAAGGAAATCACATTTGAAATTGCTGTTTGATGTCATAAAGATGTCATATTATAATAGTAATAATAATAATAATAATAATAATGCATTGAACTTATATAGCGCTTTTCTAGACACCCAAAGACGCTTTCACACACTCTCACATTCACACACTGCTAGTGATGGTAAGCTACTTGTAGCCACAGCCGCCCTGGGGAGGTCTGACAGAGGCGAGGCTGCCATTTGGCGCCGTCGGCCCCTCTGACCACCACTAACACAGGCAAGTTGGGTGAAGTGTCTTGCCCAAGGACACAACAGCCAGATACCCCTGGCGGGAGCTGGAATCGAGCCCATGACCCTCCGATCATGAGGCAACCCGCTCTACCACCTGAGCTACTACTGCCCCGATGTATGATGTTCCTCTCCACCGCCAGGATTAAAGCCATGAAAAACACTGTTTCACTTCTGGAGTGATGCTGGGAGTAAATAACCCATTAGGTCACTTGTATTGACATAATGTTCAAATAACATAGCTGCAGTAGTCTTTTATTTTGAAAATTACACAGCATTTTACACTGAAACTCTATGTGATTTCCTGTCTAGCCCTATGTCACTTGTGGAAATTGTCATGTCCCAGAAGCGACTTGCTGAACAAATAGAACCTGATCCAATCTTTAGTGGCGCGGTGAGCCTCTTCTGAGACACACCTGAAAATTTCCGCGTTGCTGCTGGTTTGAATCACCACTGTAGACTTCGAATTTGAAGCAGCGCCATTCCGCGCCGCTGATGCTTCCAGTGTGAAGTAGGGGTTACAGTGTAAAAATGTTTAGAAAATACATATAAAAAAGATAGAAACATTAAAACTGCCAGATTCAATGCGAGAGGAGCCAATTTTTTTATTGTGATTTTAATTTTACATTTGTAAATCCTAGATATAATCTATAGAATTTATGTTGAATTAAAATTATCTAAATAAATAATTTAAATACATTTATTCTGACCTAAAGACTTCAAAAAGAAGGCACTGGAGCAGAGTTCTGGTCATGCTGTGCCCCCTCTAGCTTGACATTTACTCACAACAAAAAACACAATCCAAAATAAATATTTAAAAATTATAATTATAAATAAAATGCGTTGGACCCTACCTGTAACACTAGAAATCACATGATTAATACTACATTTTTGGTGGTGTTTCATGTAAATGCCTGCTATTTATATTTTTTCAATGTTCTCTGCTTTAGGTACTGGGTATTTTTTTTTTTTTTTACTTTGAAAAATCAGCAGAACTCCAGTGTTCTGATTCTTCTGTATAAATAGAAATGACTGGATCAGAATACAGTAACACTATACAATGAGGGTCCCTTTATTAAAGTTACTTACTGCATTATTAAGCAACAGAAAGATTTCTTTAGGTAAATAAAGCAAAATAGAAGTAAAATAGAGACACAGGTTTTGTGTTTCTGCTAAGAAATACAGTACCCATTACCTTTGGTGTTATCAGTAGAATAAACGATCCTTCTGAGATTGTCCTGCTTTTTCTTTCCCTTTTTTAAAGGAGTATTACGCTCTGTTTCCCATCGGTGGCACAAATAATTATTTGAAATAAATCTCTAGTGTCACGTTCTATCATCAGTACACCTCCATCTTTCACACACGCTTCCTTTCCTCCACTTCCTACCAAAATCCACCAACAGCCACTCAGGCGCGGCTTTCTTTGAAACTCTGCTCTGACATTCCTCCACATGTACACCAGATGTTGAGCATCTGTCAAACGGTGCAGCTTTATTTGTGAACTCCTGCCGTGTTTATGTTGTGCCATAATGGAGCATTAGCAAAGCCCCCAAAGCCCATGAAGGAAATCGGCAAATGTTTCAGTTGTCCCGCTCTGCTTCACAGCTCAAGCTGGCAGGCACTCTGTGCCGGGAGTCCAGCAACTCGTGCGACCTGCCCGAGTTCTGCACCGGAGCCAGTCCTCACTGCCCGTCCAATGTTTACCTGCATGACGGACACGCCTGCCACAACGTCGAGGGCTACTGCTACAACGGCATCTGCCAGACTCACGAGCAACAGTGCATCACTCTGTGGGGACAAGGTAGCTAAGATGGGACGTGTCTCTTCTGGACACATTTTTTTCCGCATAATGACAGTTTTTGTCTCTCCTGCATTTTCAGGAGCCAAGCCCGCCCCCGGGATCTGCTTTGAGAGAGTCAACTCCGCAGGTGATCCATATGGGAACTGTGGAAAAGACTCCAAAGGCTCCTTTGCCAAATGCATCGCAAGGTAAGATCCGCTGCTGCGCAGATGTTCTGGAGGGGTGTAAAACACACTGATTTAGCTTCAAGGAGCATCATTAGCAGGCCTTCAAAACTAAAGTTTACATGGATGCCAAACATAATTTGAGAACGATAGAAGAAACTATTCATGAATCATTTCACGCTGTCTTGTCGTCTGATTGCTGTAAAGATCTTCTTCCTTTCTGGTGAATTTTGTAATCAAACTCTTTGGTAATTGCTTTAATGACGCCCTCTTCATGTGTCTCTACGGTTATTTGTCATTGTACTGACAACCCTGTTAAGAGATGTCTTGTGTGCATGTTGCACTCAGGGATGCAAAGTGTGGGAAAATTCAGTGCCAAGGTGGCGCCAATCGGCCAGTGATCGGAACAAATGCAGTCTCCATAGAAACCAACATCCCACTGCAAGAAGGCGGGCGTATTCTGTGTCGAGGGACGCACGTCTACCTGGGTGACGACATGCCTGATCCTGGGCTGGTTCTAGCTGGAACAAAGTGTGGAGCAAACATGGTGAGAAAACTCTGAATAAAATCTTTCTGAGGCGCGGTGGAGGTGTTTGTAGTAACACATCAGAACGGTACAAGGCTGTTGTTAAGCACTGACAGCTGTTGTATTCCTGTAGGCATTGAGCAGGCTGAGCAGACAGGAAAAAAAAATCTAATGAAGTTAACTCCTGAGCGAGTCCAGGGATTCATTTACAGACTCCACGCGTAGGGCTGAGCGAGCCTCCTCAGAGCAACCGGTTATCTTACTGGAGGAAGGGGGTTGCCTCTCAATCTTTCTTCTCCTACACCACAAGCCTTGGGATCATTTCCTCTTAATTATCTCTACAGAAGATGTTACATGACATGCTCTGATGACATGCAGTTGTAGATGAGTTTCCAAAGCCTGTGGGTTCAGCTTGTGAAAGGTCTTTGTGGTTAAAAAGCGGCTGAACGTTGAGGGCTGGGTTGTGAGAATGGCTCGTTTGTACGGTAAAGTTATTTAAATGTTGATTTGACATCTTATTAACCCAGCAGAGACATTCAGTGGCATGTTTTAAGTGTCAGAATATGCAAAGAAAAAGACAACTGAGTGATTTGAGTCACTTAAAAGGCATCATTTGAATGATTATTGCACCGAGTGACTTTTTTTTTTCCTTTTGGCACAAAGTGACCATCAGCCCTGCTAGCTTGTTTCCTGGTAACTGTTTCCCAGGTCGTGAGTTTGAGCCGCTCATTATCTGGAGATTTTAGTGGCCTAAAGGTGGCTGTTTGTCACCAGCCTTTGTTCTTGCACAGGTGTTGTACTTTCCATGGCAATCAGGGCATTAAATTGGTCTGCAATGCAGCCGTAATTTGAGGAAAAAATGAGAGCGCACCTAATGCAGACATTGTTTTCAACATAAAAGCACCTATCATTAGCTTTTTTATGTTTGTTCTTAAAGGGATACTAAGCTGCTTGCTTTTAGCACCCCTAGTGTCGGTTTGTTGAAGCGAAACCATCTCCTCACTTTGCGTTTGTCTTTTTAACACCTTAATCTAACAGCTGAAATGTCTCCCAGCGTTCCTAAGAGTCTGCAGGAGTGATTCATCACTAAATTAAATCAGCTGTGTCCATGCTCTAAAACATGGAGGAAACGTGCTTAAGCCAGTCAGTGGCATCACGAAGGTCCCAGCAGACCGGACCGGCAACTGTGAAGTTGCAAGTGCGATATTCTGGCCACAGGGGGCAATGAGGGCTGGGTGGCCTTTCATTAACCCTGTAAAGGGTCATTTTAGCACAAACTGGCTCAAGAAAATCATTTAAAACTGTGAAAAAGTTGCACAGTGTTCCTTTAAGGAGGCTAAGCATTTTCCACATCCTGTATTGCATTACTGGTTTTGTGGAGATTCACTTTGGTCCATCAAAAAGTGGGATTTTTTTTTCTCTTTTAAAACAAATATGTGCAGCTGAAGTGGAAATATTTCAGTTTTATTTTTTTCCAGCCTGATTGGATTTTCAGTTTTCTGAAAAAGATGCTGTGCTCTGTCTAGGTGTGCCTGAACCGGCAGTGCCAGAACGTCAGCGTCTTTGGCGTGCATGAATGCTCCGGGAAGTGCAATGGACGTGGGGTGAGTGCAAAGTGCCTTTTTAGCTCACTACTTAGTGTTAAATTATGGACTGTAGAGTGTTACAAGCCTCTGAAGACTGTGCATTTGTCGATTTACTCACATTTTGACCTGCTAAACTATCGAGTTGCTGCATCTTTTTGCTTCAGCTGCAAACAGCAAGAGAACGGCGCAGCTTCTTTGCAATACACCTTTATTGTTTGTCTGAGGTTCATCATGCCTGATGCAAATGCACTGTTTGAACTTAAGGTTTTCTTTGAAATGATCACCTTTTTTCTTGTTGCATCTCTTCTCAATAATTGAACAAAAGGTTGCCTTTCATTTAGTTCTGTAATTGCAGCTTGTACCACGGGCGGTATTGGCCCACGGTAACCACTGATCTTCACTGTCAATTAGGACAAGAGATCATATATGATAACAAATCAAAGCTGTCATCTATTTTTTCTATTATTCCCTTATGTAGTTTGTTGAAGTTCCCTGCAGCATTGAAGCTTACCACTTGGGCCTCAGCAAACAAAGAAAATAAAAAGTAACCGTAGTTTATGCTATTGTAACCGGATTACAGGATACAATAAGATAATTAAAAGAAAAAATAAACAAATGGGCCAATAATTAGGTTCGGGGAGAATTGGAGGTTGTTTAAGAATGACTGGAGTCACGGGTATAGCATGAAACGGTTTATATACTAAATTTTAATAATAATGGGAAATATAACACATAAAGATAACACACAAAAACAGATGAAAACAATCGACAATAGTAAAATGCTCGGTATGAGATTTGATCATATGAGTCACAAGTCAGCCGGCGTCAAGTCAAATCCCCACGCTTGGGGTGAAAGTCAGAGTCCGGTGGTGCGATTTTTTCCTACCACACCGTTGAGATTTTTCACAGAAGAGAGCAGTCTGCTCTTCAGTTACTTGAGATGTCCTGGTTCGTTCAGTGGTTAAGGCTCGCCATCTCCCTCGTCAGGAAGAAATCCAGTTCTCGTTCCAAGTGAGTGATCATAGGAGTCGGGATCAAACCCAAGGAAAAAAAAAAACCCAGCCTGTAAACAACAGGACTGTTAGCAAGTTGGCATCGACCCTTCTCGTCACATCACAGCATAAAGTCTTACAGACTTAAACAAATGCTTCACTCTATTGGCATAGCCAATCATGTTTGGGTTCACAGTTCAACTAACATAACATCAATTTGATTGTCTATTAAAATAATTCTCAGTAGCTCTGGAAATATAATTACATATGACAACAATTGTTCAGCTCAATAGGCTCAGTTAGATTCTATTACTCTACACTATTCAACAAGAAATACATTCATGACAACAAGGATACATTTAGTTGTGTTTCTATACAGCATTGTGACACCTTGTATATCTGTAACACAATAAATAAATAAATAAATAAATAAATAAATAAATAAATAAATAAATAAATAAAATTTTCTATAACAAAATTAAACAAAATATAAATTCTGGTCCTTTGGTCCACCTTTGTAAAATAATTCCTCCCTAATCAGTTAGCTTTTATTTATTTTTATTTATCTATTTTTTTTTATTATTAAATGTTTGGTTAAGGGACGCATTGCTAATTCTATGGCGTTAGCTATAACGCCCCTGAGGACCTTGTACATCTAGGCCGTACCACCATTAACTGGCGGTTTGAGCCGTTAACTCCTGGGAATCCCATATGCCCTACCGCCGTTAACTGGCGGTTTGAGCCGTTAACTCCTATATGCCCTACCACCGTTAACTGGTAGTTTGAGATGTTAACTCCGGGGATCTAACGTCTAGCAGCCCACTGCTGTCACCTCGGTTGCTGTAATTAGCTTTTTGAATTTAATAATTTACTGAATTTAATCTCATTCACTCACCAACGCGCTCCAACGGTTCCCTCCTACAGAGGATTGGTTCACTCTGTCGTCTCCACACAAATCTATAAGAATGGAATTAATTTGATAAGCTATTTAAGTTTCCTTTTTTTTTTTAAGTTGCATCGTTAGCTTTTTCTCTTCTTTTTTCTTTACTCACCGCGTTGGTTCCAAGTTCCTAGCTCTTATTAGAAGGAGTCAAGTCCGCCTCTCCCTCTATCTATGCGGCACCCAAATCAGGGTTCTTCACGGCCTCGACCGTTGTTTTTTTTTTCTCTCTCTCTCTCTCTCTAACCGCTCAGTCTTTGCTTTCTGTATCTGCGTGCTGCACAGCCGTTTGTCTCTCCTCTCGCTCAGCTGCGTCGCACGGTTTTATTTCGCGGAGGCGGGACTTATTTCTCTCAGCCAATGAAATTTCAGATTCCCACCTGGACCAATAGTATACAGCTTTCCTCTTCTGTTTCTGTTAGGGATGTTCAAGATTCTTGTTTTAACCGATGTTTAATATTAAACTCGTTATTTTAGTTATTCACCCTTCCAATAATTCATTATGAAATTATCTATTAGTTAATTAGATATCTATTAATTAGTATTGTTAATTTCCTTAATTTATATTTTATATTTTATCTAAATTGAGGATGGATCATATTAGTAAGCCAATTAGTTAATACCTCATTAAGGTTCTAGCTTCTGGGTTACATCCTCCCCCATTAAATATCATGCACGTCCCTGTGCATTGTTTCTACGGGGTACACAACTTCTTGAGTAAGAGAGTCAATAAAAGCTTTATTAAGTCCTTGGAAAAGGGACCTAACTACGGTCACTAGTGGATTGCCCAATTGAGAGTAAGTTAGTCTTTGAGGAGGCTGACTACTTCGTTCAGATCTCCTGACATACATCTCTGGTTGCACAGTATCATGCTCATCCGTTTCGGTTTGATTCTCAACTGAGACAGGACGAAGTGAGCTCTCTGTTTCCGACAGAGCTGATGAGCTATTCTCTAAGACTTTGGTCTTTTCAGATGTATGTGTCTGATCGTGTATGATGGGTTCAAAACTTACATCACGTTGCTGCGACTTTAGGACACCATCCAATTGAGGTAGGTTTGTGTTAGTTTCATCCCCCGTTTCTACGTCAGGTAAGTATACTTCGTTTTTTTTCGTTTTTTCAGGTAAGTATGTTGCTGCTTCTTTCACTCTTTCAGGTAAGAATGTCGCAGTTTCACTCATTCTGTCAGGTAAGAATGTTTCGGTGTTGATGCCTTTGTCAAGTAAGGACAATTCAGCATTTTCATTACCAGCTAAGGTTGGTTCCTTGCGATCCCCTGTGTGTAAGGATAGTGTGTTTTGTTGTTGAATATTATTTACCGGTCCTGAATCTGCTATGAGTTCCCTATTTGGCAAGGTGACCGCTATTTGATAGGATGGTCGGTTTAGCACTTGTGGAAGATCAGAGTAATAAAACTCATCTACCTCTTCGTCAAGTGGCTCATCTGGGTCAGGTTCTAAGGCTGAACTCTGTCTTGTATGAGGTCTGCTAGGTTTCGTAACGCGTTCTGTTTCATTTTCTAATGAAGAGAGAAAACCACAAGGCAGTAAAAGATCTCTGTGGAGTGTTCTGTTGGGTCCTTCTCCGTTCTCTGGTTTTACAGTGTATACTGGCAAGTTTTCCATCTGTTTGAGAACTATATACACTGTTTGCTCCCATTTGTCTGCTAATTTATGCTTTTCTCTTAAGCGAAGATTTCGGACTAAAACACGATCTCCCACACCTAGTGTGGACTCACGAATGTTTCTGTCGAACCGTTCTTTGTTCTTCCTAGCTGTTTTTTGAGAGTTTTTTATGACAATGTCATAACTCTGTTCCAGATGACTCTTCAGTTCTTTAACATACTGAGAATGAGTTATAGAGGGCTTGTTCAAATGCGGTAACCCAAAGGCAATATCTATAGGCAACCGAGGCTGCCTACCGAACATTAGCTCGTAGGGAGAGTATCCCGTCACGTCATTTTTTGTACAATTGTACGAGTGAGTAAGTGGTTTTACAAAATCGCGCCAGTGATGTTTCTCAGTGGCTTGTAAAGTTCCCAACATGCTGAGTAATGTACGATTGTACCGTTCAACGGGGTTGCCACGAGGGTGATAAGGGCTCGTTCTGACTTTACGGATACCAAGTAAAGAACAAAGTTCCTTGATGGTACGTGATTCGAAATCCCGTCCCTGATCACTATGAAGACGCTCAGGAAACCCGTAGTGGACTAAAAAATGTTCCCACAGGTTCTTCGCGACGGTGGTGGCTTTCTGATCTTTGGTTGGGATGGACACTGCATACTTTGTAAAATGGTCTGTAATCACTAAGACATCTTTAGTGTTCTTACTGTCTGGTTCTATGGAGAGAAAATCCATGCAAACTAACTCCATAGGTCTGGTGGTGGTAATATTCACCATTGGAGCAGCTTTGTCAGGGAGGGCCTTCCGACGGATACATCTTTCGCAAGTTTTAACTTTGATTTCGATATCACTAGCCATTTTTGGCCAGTAAAAACGGGACCGAATGAGATCTGTCGTACGTTCAACCCCAAGATGCCCCATATCATCATGTAGGCTTTGCATGACTGTTGAACGTAATGAATCAGGCAAGACTAACTGCAATGATGTCTCTGGTCCTAATTGGCGTCTCCGGTACAGTAAATCATTTTGAAACTCAAACCGTTTCCACTCTCTCAAAAGGTTAAGAACCACCGGGGGTTCTGCAATAGTATCAGTTGGCGGTTTATTGTCAGTCATAAGCAGCTGAATGACTCGGCCAATGGTTGGATCTTTCCTCTGCAAGGAGACAAGGTCAGCATGGTTATACTTGGGCACAGCAAAGAAACTGTCACTATTGTCTTCCAACTGGAATAGGTCTGGAATGGCCGCTGCAGACATGGCAAGTGACTGAACTAAACCACAAGGAGAATCAGCCTCATCCAAGACCATGTGCTTTTGGCATGTTGCCTTCACTGCTTCGGCTTGAAGTTGAAGCTCGACTTCTTTGACAGAGGATAAAAGATGAGATCGGAACTCATCTAGTCGTTGGCATTCCTCAGTGAATTTTGAGTTGTCTTCAGGTTTATCATGCAGCCTCCTAGACAG